GTGCCCAGCAGTAGATGAGCAGGTGAAAAAGCTGTGGTTTACACAATGGAATGCTATGTAACAGTTAAAAAAAGAAACTCTTACTCTTTGTGACAGCATGGGTGGAACTGGAAACTATTATGATAAGTGAAATAGTCAGTAAATAATACAAATACCATATGATCTCACATATATGTGAAATCTAGTGAAGAATGGTATGGGATTTTTCTGAGGAAATGGGAGGGGACTGGGTGGAGAAGAGCAAAGAGGGAAAAATTTGGCACAACAGTAAAAGCATAAACAATTAAATATCGTAAAAATGACATGGAATTAGTATTTAGCATATGTGACATTTAAAACTCCAGTTTCTTTCTCCTTTGATTAAAAAAAGATTAATATAACAATTATACCTCAAAACCATATAGACTTTTAGCCAATGTTTTTAACTTCTTGGCTTATAGCCATTTCCAACCCTTCAAACTTAAAATAGATAACAGAATATATATAGTAAAATAAAACTTTAAAATGACATAGCCCCATTAAAAAGCAATATATATTTTATGATACAAATCAATAAAGTTTGTCCCGGCTTGAGATCTAAAATCACAGTCATCAGAAATTCTGCTCTTGAACTACTCTATCCAACAAAGCTCTCATTTAAAATGGAAAGTGAAATAAAGAGCTTTTAAGACAAAAGAAGGCTAAAAGAGTACATCTCCACCAAGTGAGCACTGCAAGAGATGGTGTACACAGAAAACCCTATAGTCTCCACCAAAAACTACTCAACCTAATAAGTGAATTCAGCAAAGTAGCAGAATACAAAGTCCATTTTAGAAACTGATGGTATTCTTACACACTGAAAATGAGTTATCAGAAAGAAAAACTAATACAAAATCCCATTTAATATAGTGACAAGAAAAATAAAGTTCTTAACAACAAATTTAACCAAGGATGTAAAGTATCTATGCTAAGAAAATTATAGAACACTGAAAAAAGAAACTGAGAAAGATACCTATAAATAGAAGCATATACCAGGTTCATGGACTGGAAGAATTAACATCTTTAAAATATTCATACTACCCAAAGCAATCTATAGATTCAATGCAATTCTTATTAAAATACCAAGGGTGCATTTCCAGATACAGAATAAATATTTCAAAAATTTATATGGAACAAAAAATTCTCTTTTTAGATTTTATTTATTTATCTTTAGAGGGGAAGGGAAGAAGAGAAGGAGAGAAATATCAGTGTATGGTTGCCTCTTGGGCATCTCCTGCTGGGAACTGTCCTGCAACCAAGTCATGTGCCCTGGCTGGGAACCAAACCATGATCCTTTGGTGTGCAGGCCTGCTCTCAATCCACTGAGCTGTACCAGCCAGGGCCCAGAAAAGACTCTTAATAGCATCAGCAATCTTGAGAAAAAAGAACAAAGTTGGAAGGATCACAATACCTGATATTAACTATACTACAAGGCTACTGTAATCAAAACAACCCAGTGCTGGCATAAAAATAGACACATAGATCAGTGGAACAGAATAGAGACACCAGATATAAACTCATGTCTCTATGGTCAATTAATATTTGACAAAGGGGGCATGAGCATACAATGGAGTAAAAACAGTCTCTTCAAAAAATGGTGTTGGGAGAAGTAGACTGTTATATGCAAAAAGTGTAACTAGACCACCAACTTACACCAAACACCAGAACAAACTCAAATTAGATAAAGGACTTAAATATAAGTTGTGACACCATAAAAGTCCTAGAGGAAAAACATAGGCAGTAAAATTTCAGACATTCCCCATAGCAATATTTTTGCCAATATAGGGAAAGGCAAATCAAGGAAAAAAATAAACAAACGGGATTATATCAAATTAAAAAGCTTCTGCATGGCTAAAGAAACTATCACAAAAACAAAAATGGGACTGATATATGGGAGAACATTTTTGAAACTGATACATCAGACAAGTGTTTAACGTTCAAAAGATATAAAGAACTCCTATGACTCAACACTTAGAAACCAAACAATTTAATTTAAAAAATGGGCAAAGGACCTGAATAGATACTTCTCCAGGGAGGACATATAGATGGCCCATAGACAAATGAAAAAAATGCTAAACATCACTAGACATCAGAGACATGCATATTAAAACTACAATGAGATACCACCTCATACCTGCCCAAATGGCTATTATTAATAAATTAGCAAACAACATGTACTGGTGAGGGTGTGGAAAAAAGGAACCCTAGTACACTATTGGTGGGAATGCAGACTGATGCGACCACTCTGGAAAACAATATGAAGTTTCATTACCAAATTAAAAATAGACCTGCCTTTTGACCCAGTGATTCCACTTCTGGGAATATATCCAAAGAATCCTGAAACATCAATTCAAAAAATACATGCACCTCATTGCTAATAGCAAGGTTGTTTACAATAGCCAAAATTTAGAAACAGCCTAAGTGTCTATCAGTAGATGAGTGGATAAAAAAAGAAGTGGTGCCTTTCTAAAATGGAATACTATGCAGTGGTAAAAAACAAAAAATATCTTACCTTCTATGACAGCACAGATAGAAATGGAGATTATCATACTAAGTGAAATAAACTATGCAATGAAACACAAATACCATATGATCTTACTTAAAACTGGAACCTAAGGAACAAGATATACTAATGAGCTAAATAGAATCAGAGGCACAGAAACAAGAAACAGAGCAGAGAGAGGGTGGGACTGGTTGAAAGAAAGTTCAGTGGATTAGACAATGAATATATGCATGACTCATAGACTTGAGCAGAGTTGCAGGGATTGACTGTGGGAAAAGTGCACTGGGTGAAGGGGTACTGAGGGGAACAACTGGGACAGCTGTAATAGGAATAAACAATTAAGTTTTTAAAAAATTGAGAAATATTATACAAATAATGCACAAATGAAAAAAGAAAGATGAAATATAAAAAACATACCTATTAAATTAAAAAAACTGATTTAGGTGATGAACTCTAGAATGGATACAGTAGTTGAGCAGACTTGAAAAATAGGAGATAATATCAAGAATTTCACTCAGGGCAGAGATAAAAGAGATTTTAGAAAATAGAAGAGTTTTTAAGAAATATTTGAGAAATATTATGAGTCTCTAAGAGATATGTATTGTCATATATGTCACATATGTTTGTCAAAGGTGAGGGGATAGGGAAATAGAGAGAAAAGGTGAAGGGGATTAAGAAATACAAATAGGTAGTTACAGAATAGCCATGGAGATGTAAAGTACAGTGTAGGAAATGGAGTAGCCAAAGAACATATATGCATAACCATGGACATGAGCAACAGTGTGGGGATTGCCTGAAGAGTAGGGGGTGCTGGATGGAGGGGGCCAAAAGGGGAAAATTGGGACAACTGTGATAGCATACTCAACAAATGTAATTAAAAACAAATAAAAATTAAAAGCTGTAAAAAAGAAGTATGTAAGCTAGATGAGTCTCTAACAGATATGTAAATGTGATATTCAATAATATACAGCACTAATTATGATTGGAAAATCACATCACAAACTTAAAATAGAAGGGAATCTCTGTAATATGATAAAAGCATCTATCGAGGAAGAAAAGCACCACAAATATGTAGTAATAAACCTTTAGACACATTCACTTCAAAGACAAGGTCACCAGCTATGACCCACTCATTCATTCAACTTCCATAGTATGAGGTGACAATACATTTAAAAATAAACTGACATGATAATTGAGTAGACAGAAATAAAAGTAACCTCATATGAAGTGGATATAAGCAACTATATAGAAACCAAAAGAATCACGGGTGGAGAGGGAGGAAATAAATAATAGAGTTTGACAAGTTTCCTCAAAGCTATGTTAATATATTCAAATCAATAATCTATTGGAAAGTGTAATAGAACAAGTGACATGTAATTCAAAAGGAAACATTCACATAATAATAATAATAATAATAATATTATAAACTTCTTAGGAATAAATCTACTAAAAGTTGTTCAAAATATTTCTGAATATAATGCAACTTAGTTGAAGCAAAATAACATCTCAATAAAATATACCCCTTCCATTAAAATATGTTAACTTATAAATTTCATAAGTCACAAATAAGAATAGTAACAGGATTTATATGAAAAGGGACAAGTTCCACATGAGTCAAGAAAACTTCAAATAGCAAAACGCTGTGAGGAAATTTTACCTACTTCAATATCAATATTTATTGCAAATATAAAATAATTAAAATAGTGTGTTTTATTGGTACAAATATACTTTCTTTTATACCTAGCCTCCGAAGTAGCATAGGTTTCTCTTTTTTTCTACATATATACATATAACTGTGTATGATAAAAGTGTCATTTTAGGTTAAAGGGAAGACAATACATACTTCACTTTGGGAATCACTTTGCTATCTATATTAGAAAATAGACTTATACCTCAATCACTTATACTACAGAGTCACAGAAACACACAATTTCAAGTAGATTAAATACCTAAATATTAAAAAGAAATATTTAAGCATGTAAAAAGAAATAAAAAGATATCACTAGTTGTTCTACAAAGGTTTTCTTATACTGACTCAAAACCCACTTATAATAGAGGAAATTATTAGCATATTTGAATAGATTAAAATCAATATTTTTATATGACAAAACATTGCATAAAAATAAAACTTGAAAAGAAATTCAGACTGAGAATTTATTTGCATAAATATCTGGAATAGACAAAAAACTCCAGCAAATCAATTAGAAAACAAAAACGAATCTAATATAAAGTTGAGAAAGTATAAAGACTAACAAATTCCTGATGAGGATGCTTCAAAAGATGTATTGATGAATATCAAATTCCCCCAAAGCTTAATTGCTTAAAACAAACAGCATTTATTATGCCACTCTTTCCTTGGATCTGAAATTTGAGAGTGGTTCAGATTCAGTGTTTCTCATGAGCTTTTAGGTAAAATATCAACCAGGGCTACAATCAGAAGCTTGATTGAGTCTGGAAGATCCATTTCCAAATGGCTCACCTTTGGAAGAAGGTCTCAGTTCCTTGGTAAGTCATTGACAGGGGCCATCAGTTGTTTGCTGCCTATTGTCAAAAGGCCTGTTTTTCTACCACACAGACTTTTTCATAGGCTGCATGAATGCACTCACCATGTGGCAGCTGGCTCTTCTCCCCTGCTCCAGCTCCACCCCCCCAGAAAAAGATCCAAAACAACATGTAAGCAAGAAGCCACAGACTTTTACACCTCGCCTCTGAAGTAGCATAACCTTTTCCTTTTTTCTGTTAGAGTGATTCATAAAATCTTTCCACATTTTAAGAATAAGGAATTTGGGTTTCATTTTTTAAAGGGTGTCAAAAAATTTGTCCACATAGTTGAAATCATTTCTGATGATGATGACTCAAAGCTCATGTGTTACCTTCAGTATTTAATTATTAATGGGAAAGGGGAGCAAAGGGACTTAGACCTTGAGCTTAATAAACTGGGAAGCATAAACCTGTTTGCTTTACTATGAAGCTACAGCTTTTTACACTCCAGGGACACACAGCTCCACCAAGGGGATTAACACTCCTCCCTCACCCCCTTTGATACTGGATTATTGGGGGGGCATGGGAGGAGGTGCTGGACCATAGAGGTCTGCCAGTCTAACTAGGGGGTGGACCTATCCAAAACCCGAGAAAGCTTGGGAAGTTGATTGGTTCTTTTGAAAAAGCATCTGGTCTGTCCCGAACCCAGGCTAATATAATCCCAGGGGAACAAAGAAGCTCTCTCCCCCCCTCTCTCTTTCCTCTCTCTCCCCTCCTTTCTCTCTCTTGCCCAGGTGACCCATACTCAGATGTCCTCTTTCCATAGCCATGTGGCCTTAGCAGCCACATGGCCTACAGCCACATGGACTCTGCTACCAGAGCAGCTGGGAACAAGCCCAACTATCTGGATGGGGACTGAGATTACATAGCAGTTGCCAGCAGGCTCCAAAGGACTGAGCTTTAATAGGAAGCAAAAACTCTGGACATTGGCTTTTGCTTTGGCCTTGCTGAAGACAAGACTAGACCATTTCCATGGTAAAATGATGAAAATGGGACATTGGAAAGTCAAGAGGCAAACCCCTTTAATCCCTTAACTTTACATCGTCAATAAACCATACCACAGAGTGCCATCCTCCTGTGCTGGTCTCAGGAAATACTTTTCTCTTGGCACCACGAGAACGTGTTTTCCCCTGTCAACACAGAGACTTGTGAAAACATGTACCACCTTAATGGTAATCAGGAAAAAGAAAATCACACAAGAGAATATCTTCATATCCATCAGTTTGACATAAGTTTAAGTTTCTAAAAATAGTAATTGCTAAGGTGTATGTACAGTATCAGGAGCTCTTACTACTGTGAAGTGTTACAATTACTAAAGTTTAAACCCACGTACCTTATGACCTACCAATCTCTCTTTTAGATATATACCTAAAACTCTAGCACAAACACACAAAAATAATTAGTATGTTTATCATGTATTACTTCTAATAGCAAAAATGACATAGCATAAATATCTAACAATGGGAGAACAGATGAATTAATAGCAATGTACCCATGCATATTATTACTATACAAGTATAAGAATTAATTAATCTGAGCTACATTTATCAAGATGAATAGAATTTAAAAATAAGATGTTGAGGTTTTTATTTTAAATCTAGATGCAGAATAGTATCCTCTAGTAAAGTTAAAACAGTCAAAACTACGTATAAACATATATGAGTTGACATATATGTACATCACATGCATGTGTATTGTGTGCAATTTATACATGTTTACACACACATGACTCAACTAATACATGTGACATCAAGTATAAAACACCAATGGGACTGATAGAGTCCAACTTCAAAACAGCAGTTTCTTCTGGAAAGAGACCAATTAAATAAGTCACTGAAATTTATAAATACATTTCAGAACTACCTGAAGTGGTTTCCATCTTTAAAACTTAAATCCACCCTGGCTGGCATAGCTCAGTGGATTGAGCATGAGCCTGCAAATCAAAGGATCCCAGATTGATTCTCAGTCAGGGCACATGCCTGGGTTGCAGGCCAGTTCCCCATAGGGGACGCACTAGAGGCAACCATACATTGATATTTCTCTCCCTCTGTCCTTCCCTTCCCCTCTAAAGATAAATAAATAAAATCTTTTAAAAAAACTTAAATCCTCCTGGCTGGTGTAGCTCAGTGGATTGAGCTCGGGCCTGGGAACCAAGCAACCATGGTTCGATTCCCAGTCAGGGCACATGCCTGGGTTGCAGGCCAGTTCTCTCCCTCTCTCCTTCCTTTCCCCTCTAAAGATAAATAAATAAAATCTTAAAAAAAATAAAAAATAAAAAAAACTTAAATCCTAAAAATAGTGAATACAATAAATGTCAATATTGGTGCAATCAAGACTCTAGTTTTTAAAAAATATTCATAATGCAAATGTTTTTTTTAATATTGAGGAAAAAACAGAAATTTTTGCCATACTATAAATTCAAGAAAGATAGGATTTGAATTTTGGATTTGTCACTATTTAGCTGTGTAAACCAGGGAACATTATTTTCCATCTTCAGATTGTAGGTTCTTCATTTTAAATATGGATATTTTGTGATTATAAAATGGCATAGTATTTGCAGAGTATCCAATACATACTATATACTAAATAAATACTTACTGATATTAATTTAACCGAAGTGTCATTCATTTTCCTGTAGTATTGGGTAAGATTCAGTTGGGTGATAGATCTAACACCCTCCCTGAGTCATTAGCTGACAACTGCTCCTCAGCATCACGGGCTCCACCAATCATGTCACCTGTTTACTATCTGAAACTCGTGATTGCAGTCGTTCTCGTGGACTGCTGCTGTACATGCATCTCAAGGTTTGCTGAGTGGTTGGGATAACTAAATAACATTAAAAAGGTTAATTATATCTGCATTATATTTGACTTCCCCATAATCAAAAGGAAAGTTATCAGGAGCATTAAACCTTTCACTGAGGGAATCTCACAGATGTCTCCAGTTCCTAGCTTGATCTTCTGTCATTAGACACCATTTGGAAAGAACTCATACACGACTTCTAACTCCCACACTATAGACCTCCTTCATCTCTTTAAGGAAGCCTACTGTGTGCACCCATTAGAACTGTTTTCCCTCTAGACCTTTCTTTTCTCGAAAGTTTTATTTATGCATTAAAGAACACTGCATGGTTGTCACCAGGACAGTCCATGGTGGCCTTTGGCATTCCTAGACCCACGAGATAGTGCAGGGTTGTGAGGTTGCTTGGATACCTCAAAACTTGGAGAGCATTCCCGAGCAGGCGGGAACATGCCAAGTCTGCTCTTTTTGAAAGTGTGAACTGCACGCAGTTTTGGTTTTCTCTGTGGCCAGCAGGTAACCCATTCGGTCTTTTACAAACATATATACTTACATATGAGTAGCTCATTTCTCAAAAATATGTATAAGAATAACATTTAAATATATTTTATGGCAAATATTTTCCTAAAACTCTCCCAAATGTGTGCGCCGTCTGCACCACAATAGGGTTGGTATTTCATAATTGTTTAGATTGTTACTGTTTTGCATTTCTCTCACCCCTCCCATTCTCAAATTGCACACTCATGCCAGAATTAAGAAATAAGCCTTTTCCCGGGCCAAATACTACCCGGTGATTTCTATTTTAACTGTGAAAATACCAAACTAAAGATTTAAAATTTCATTTATAAGAGCTAAAGTTAGATAAAACTTTTTCTCATACCTTCTGCTGGTGGCAGGGAAAAGAGAAAGGAATGCTGGGGCGGTGAAATACGTTCTTTAGTCGATTGCTATTACTATTATTATTATGGTTGTTACTCATAAAATCACTATACTTTCCATTGGCTTTATGGAAATATTTTTTATAAATACTATGCATGACATATTTAGATTAATATTTTATCTTTACATGTTCTCTTTTTTATATAGTTTATATATATGAATATGCCTAGAACTCTGTATATGGTGATAACTGAGTGGGATTAAAGAAATTTGGATTTCTTGGCTTGGCAAGTCAGAGAAAGAAAAAGTATTCTTATAATCCTCATGCACTTACAGTAAAAAATAAGAGGGAGAAAATGAGAGAAAGACAAGGAGAGAGAATGAAATGTGAGGATTTGATGGGAAACAATGACACATTCATTCTTAATCAAGCTAAGACCTGGTGTCAGTTTTAAAGCAACTTGCTATCAGCAAAGAGAATCTGTTCACCATAAGGCAAACTAATGAAAATTGAATGGGTTGGGTTGGATGAACACCACCCTAACTTGGACACCTCCAGTGCGGTTATTCAGGTACACCACTAAAATTATCATGGCAAGAGAGCCAGAGCTCAAAAATTAGACTACGCTTCTAGAAACTTTAGCAACTAATCATCCTTTTTTTAAAAATAAGGTTTTCTCCTACTTAATAATGTTTTTTTCCCTACAATTTACAAAACAAGCATCCCTTTAAATTAAATGATTGTTTATCATGATAAAGTTAATTGAAAAACATGTTTTTCTAACTTAATGGAAGCCTGCATCATGCAGGCAATAAACATTCTTGCTTGAAAGGAATTCTTGCTCCTTCTTCTAAGACTGCCATGGGAATAAAGTAGAAAAAGAAAGAAAACGGAGGGGGGAAGAGGCCTTGCATTGCCCTCAAGTTGTGTCTGGCTTAAGAGCCAAATGGGATTTTGTAGCCTAAAAGTTTTCTATTCACTTCTATATTTGGCATCCACAAATTTCCCTCTTGGCCAGTTGTGTTCCCCAAACCCAAATGCAAGCCATTTCTGAGTCTGCTTGTGTCAGTTGCTCCTTGTTAACAGCCACAGCTAATCTGCCCCACTGGACATTTGGCAAAAGTTTATTTTATAGCACCTGGAGGCCCATACAATGTAGGACGAAAGTGAAAGGAGCAGTCGGTCTATAACACCAGTACATTCAAATGTGGACTGTAAATATTTCCAAGTGCAAACTGTGGGTCAGGACTCAGAGGAAGGTAGCCTTTAGAGGCTGGCTTTGGGTGGAGTCTTCACCACTACTGTTGATAGCAACAATTTCCTGCAGGTAGAAATTTACATACCCTCTCATGTGCTATCGTAGCA